CTACTTAATTTATAATGCTCAATGTAAGATGATTATTAGTTCCAGTCGTTCCAGTCGTTCCAGTTGTTCCAGTCGTTCCAGTTGTTCCAGTTGATACGTGCACCACTCCGCCTAGAAATGGAGATTGCCGGAAAGACTGTCAAACTGATGAAGTACACGATACACAAGGGAAATGCCCAACCACGTTAAAGCCTAAGTGTTGCGGTAAGTTTTTGTTATCATATACAGGGTGGTCCAAAAAAAGTGAACCCGTGCAACGGGCCATATTTCCCTTATTACTTGCAGGAATTCTTTTTTATTTTCATATGCTGTAGAGGAATGTGTAAAAGTTATGCTGGTACCATACATTTTTCTTAATCTTGAACTTTGCAGAAATTATAAGCCCTAAGCAAATGTTACTGAAAATGGATAAAATGTTATTTTCAATATCCGCGATTCTTCAACCCTTCGACACCCTTCCCCTGACATTTTTTAAGCTGCAGTTTTAAAGAACTAATATTTTCTGACTTTGTTCAATTTTGAATCTTGCACATTATGGCTTAAACCTAGCATCCTACCTTTGTGAGTTGCAAAGTTATTGTGATCCGAGGAAATATTCAAAGCTTCCATAGACGAAAACATTTTTCAGTGAAATCACGAACATACCCCTATATGATCTTGAAACGTCAATATCTTCAAAAATCATGGACCAATTCTAATGAAACGTGGCTCAAAACATTGAATATTGGATTTTCTTTTGATTTTTAAAAAATATTTGATGAAGGGCTTCTCAGATTCCTGGTCACAGGGGGCAACTTCCTTCCACAAGAGACCCCCTCTAACTGTTTGTAAAGGTAACATACCCCTGAACTGTTGAACGATTTTAACTGCTTCAAAATGATCAATGAAAGTGTGAAATAAGTTTTCTGCTTAAATAGTGTCCCTTTTGTCATATAGTAGGGTTTTGAAGTATCTCTAACTGTAAGCTGTTTAAGATCATCCAATGTGTTTCAACAATTTCCATGAATCACATTAGTAAAATTTTGCAAATGTCTAATTTTCAGGCATGTTTGTTAAACTCTTGTAATTTCTTCAAAATTTAAGACTGAGAATAAATTATAGCATGAATCTTTTTTATCTGATCATATAGATTGCTTATAATTCCAAATTGTTTTAGTCAGTTTAAATATTGACATTTGAAAAAAATTCTTTTTTGAAAGAAAGCTCTGACCTCTGAATGGGGCATGGGGTAAAAGTGTAAACTTCACTTTTCCATAGATGTATTCACCAGATTACATGTATGTGATGGGGCGTTATCATGATGCAAGATCTGGCAATATATACCATTGTTTATCAGATACGGGCTTTTCCTCCATAGTGCTTTCATAAGAACGACTCTCATTACTTGAAAACTAAGAAAACTCAATTTGGGGTAGGGGAAAAATAGCAATTAATGCCCGAATTTGTCTACAATGTGAGACCATAATATATCCATTATATATAGATTGGGTGTGATATTTAAGTGTACAAATAGTGACTGCCATTGAGGGAAATAGTGCAAAATATTTTCCTCAAGGGAATATCCTGTCCACTGACCTGTTCCCGAGGCTGCAGGCCGAGGGAACAAGTCAGTGGACAGGATATTCCCGAGAGGAAAATTTTTACATTATTTCCCGAAAATGTGGCAGTCACTATTTGTTTTATTATATACCTGATAAGTACTCTGTAAACGAAAACAAAATGAGAAGTCTTTTCATTTCAATATCAAATGTTCACAGGTTCTTATTGGCATTTAAAGGCATTTTACCTTTTAACTCCTATAATCTCAGATTTGGGGGAAGATAAAATGTACTATTGACTGGTCACATGACCTAACTGGTGATTAGTACAATTCATCTTCCCTGAAAGCAGGGATTTAGGACTTTCCAGGGAATTAGTTCATCTATTCCATGTCATGTGACCATGAATTAGCCAATGAGCATCTAGAATACATTTGAGGTATATAATAATGTATACTGATCATGTACTAAGAGTCTAAACATGGTTAATAACCAATTGGATTTAAAACAACGTACCTCAAGAAAATATCGTCCTGTGACAGTCTGGCCCATAGGAACACGCTGCTTTAGCAGCATGCCAGAGAACATTATATACATTTGTTTCCCCTTGGAGCGAGAGCTTGATGCCTTCTCTGGTCCTCCTTCATCTTTTCTTGTCCACTGTGATAACTGACTCTTGTTTCTGGGTCATAAAAATATATCCAAGTCTCACCAGAAGTTATGATTCTGTCTAGAATTTATCCTTGGTATCTTCGATACCAACCCAAAAGTTTCTAAAATTGAGACATTTGTTGTCAAGGTTGATAGCTAGGACTGACATTCCCTTGCAGTCTTTGTTCTCCAATGATAATGATATTTGAAAAGATTTTACAATACCAAAGCAGTAGAAAGAATCAAAGTTTCGTATGGATACAAACCATTGATATAATACATGTAAAAGTGCAAATCCCTTAAAATCTGATGAAAAAGGCGAGAATTTACAAGATTTCAAAGCTATATTGAAACTCATCTATTTGTCAGTGGTGGTATGTGCGGACTGGTATATATTGAGCTAATGGTTAGTTTACATTTAGAATTATTTATTGTCTCCCCTTAACATACACTTAATACAAATAATGACATCATAACATGAGCTAATACTACAAAAGTAAAAGTTCAACTCAAATTTCGAATGTCACAAAAGGGTTTGGAAAACAACGGTAGTTTTCAGTGAAAGGGTTAGCATTTCAAAAACGTACAGTGAAACCCACTTTAAGAATGATAGATTTTTACGGTGGGTTCTGAACTGAACTCATAGATCAGTGACTTCTAAGTATCGATTTATTGTTGCATCATATCTGGTCACGTGACCTATTTACATAATAATCATAACAACAAAAGCACATGGTACAGTCTGATGAATGCTTACATAATTGTTAAGACTACATATTATGACATCTTCCTTTTTTTCAAAAATGAACAATCATTTTAAGTTTAAAACGTTTCAAGTAAGTGCTAATATTATATCACTGTATTAATCAAATAAATCTGTTTCTAATCACTACAATATCTTGCAGGTCTTTTTATTATAAGGCCTCTACTGGCACGAGTGACTGGTTTACTGTCAGTAGGACACATACTAATGTCAGGTTTAATTTTACCAGGTGATTGCACTTGTGTAACTGGAAGTGGTGCATCACTTGGCTGTTTATTATCACAATCAGTGGGTGGATCTATAATTGGTACAACAGGAACTTGAGGCAGATATGACTTTTCAAGGGTGTGAGAAGGATTATCATGAAACTTCACATCTGTCTTATCTGGCATTATATGACGTCTATTGCGTCTATATAGTCCCCTATCTGTTTTTACAATATATGACCTAGGAGCATCATGCTTGGATTGAACAATACCCTTAATTGACCAATCAGATTCTTTATCATGTTTAATACGCACTGAATCTCCTGGAATCAAAGGAACCAAATCCCTTACCCCATGATGGTTGTCATAGTAACGTTTATATGACTGTTTGGTAATTTTATCTTGTTTTGCAACATTTTTAAGATTAGGCCACTTTGGCATTAGGTTACAAGGCATAGTTGGTATTGTAGTTCTCAACTGTCTACCCATTAGCATTTGTGCAGGTGAAAATCCTGTAGCTTGAATTGGTGTTGACCTGTATGCTAATAATGCTTTGCAAGGGTCTTTCTGAGTTAGAAAACGCTTAATTATCTGGACGCCACGCTCAATTTTTTTTTTTCATCAAATTTAAAATGTATACATATAAGTGAAAAATTATAAAAGTCACTCCATTACCCATTCATTCACATTCTTCACTCATACCATCATACTGTTAAAATCCATTTTCATTTTTAAACAATAATCTAAATATGCCTTAAAGTTGTAATAATTTGGAGGCTCTTGTTGCATTTTCTTATTATATAAGTAGTACTTTCCTATAATAATTACCATATTTTCAAAATCACTCCATTTTGGGCTACCAAATAATACTGTAAGCAGAGAAAAGTTTTCGAGATCTTTTAATGTATTATCTATTAATGACTTCCAAAACTGTTTGGTATAATCACAATTAAAGAAGATGTGGTCACAAGTTTCTATGTTCACATGGCAAAACTCACACATTGGTGAAGGAGTTATTTTGTATTGAAAAAGTTCACTATTTGTATACAAAATATTGTTTAAGAGCTTATATTGAAATGCCTTATGTTTTGAATATGTCAGGGTTTTATGAAAGTGTTCATAGTAAAATGACCAATCTTCTTCTTTAATATGATATTTATCTGATAAAGTGTGTTTTGCTGTTGGATATTCTGCAATAGCTTCCAGCAATATTTTATAAAATTCTCTAGATGTACATTTTAAAAAGTTGACTTCTGTATCGCTTTTTATTACTGTTATATTATCTAGAGATACCTGGTCATTCATATTTCCATTCGGTACTCTTAACCAATCTGATGGTATTGCCTGAATGAGGCCAAACCATTTTAGCATATAATTGTGTGAAAGTCCAGTTTGCATTTTGACCTGATTCCATGATTTAACCATACCATTAAGCATAACATCTTTGATTCTTAGAAAACCTTTATCATAAAATTCCTTCCAAAATATTGATTTATTTCTGATGACAATGTTCTCATTATTCCAAATTATTTCATCCAATGCATTTTCTTTGGTCTCCTTATAAGCGTATATGCCTTTAAAATATTATGATAAAATCTTGGGCTAATTGCATTTAGCTTATTTATGTCAAAATTGCAGTTTAGCAAAAGTAAAAGCCCGCCATATTTATGGAGATAATGATTTGGAATAATTGTCCATTGTGATTCCTTTTTAGTATCCTTTAAAAGCTTTTGGGCCCATCTTAATTGAGAGGTTTGAATTTTGGTTTTGAGGTCGCTCATATTGAGTCCTCCTTTTTTAATTGTTGAAATAAGAGCTTTTCTTTTAATCTTGTCATTTCCGTTCCAAATAAATTTAAAAACAATTCCGTTTATTTCCTTTACATAACAATCATCTGTTTCAATAACTGAACTAATAAAGCTAAATTTTGACAGCCCAAAAGTTTTTACGATCTGTATTTTACCTAAAATTGTCAAATTTCTACTTTGCCATAGGCTCAATACCTGCTTAAGGTGATTAATTGTCGACCTAAAATTTTTCTCTGCTTTGAGCTTTCTATCATAATTAAAATACACTCCAAGAATTTTAATTTCTTGAACTTGTTTCAAGTGATCAATGTCCCAAATTTGATCTTTAAATCTTCCTATTGTAAAGAGCTCAGTTTTGTCTAAGTTTGTTTTAAGGCCACTACATTTTTCAAAGCTATCAAGTACTTTCATTGACTGCAGTATAGAGTTTTTATCCCGAACAAACAACGTCATATCATCTGCATATATGCTCAGTTTTATTTCTTTATTACCAATTTGAATTCCTTTTATTAATGCATCATCTCTTATATTTTGGGCTAGAAACTCTACTGCAATGATGAAGAGTACTGGTGATAAAGGATCACCTTGTTTAATTCCCTTTTCTATTTTAAATTTTTCCCCACAGAACCACAAATTCATAACTTGGGCAGTTATATTACAATACAATATTTTAACCCACGAAATAACATATTCTCCGAAATTTAGTTTTTCTAAAGCTTTTATTAAAAAATCGTGGCTTAGAGAATCAAATGCCTTGAGAAAGTCAACAGCTACAAAAGCGCCCCCTATATTCTCATCTTCTGTATAAAACATCATGTCATCTATTAATCTTATAATTTCAGCCATTTGTCTTTCTTTTATGAATGCTGCTTGATCTGATTTAATTAATTTGCCTAATACAGATTCAATGCGCTTGCACATAACTTTGGAAATTATTTTTGCATCCACATTTATTAATGAAATCGGACGTTGGTTTTTCAAAAACATGACATCTCTTCCTTTTTTCGGAATGAGTTTCATAATGATTTCTCTCTGAGAAACTGACATTTCCTTTTTATTAAATGTGAAACCTATAGAATTCATAAAAGTTGTTTTTATCTTTTCCCAAAATGTAGAATAAAATTCAATAGTAAGACCATCACTTCCGGGGGACTTATTATTTTTAAAAGTTTGAAGAATTTTATAACATTCTTGCTCTGTGATTTGACATTCCATAGACAATTTTTCCTCCTCGGTTAGCTTAGGAATATTATTATTTTCTAAGAATACATCTGCATTTTTATTATATACATTTGCTTTTGATTTTGAATAAAGCTGTTTATAAAATTCCTTGAATTTATTTTGAATTATTTTAAAATCTTTAGATATTACTCCATTTGCATTTTTTAATTGTGTTATGTTACTTTTTGCAGCATTTTGTTTCTCTAGTTGAAGAAAATATTTTGAGCCTTTCTCCCCTTCAACAAAATCTTGAGATCTTGATCGAATTCTCTCACCTTGTGTTACATAGTCAAAATGAGTCTCAAGCTCTAATTGGCATTTGTAGTATGCATTTTTAATTTCTATGTCATTTGGATTTTTATCTAAATTGCTCTGTAGCGTATTAAGTTTGTTTTCTAGGTCACATTTGTTTTTCTTTCTAGCCTTTGCCCTCTTCTTTGAATAAGCAATGGTAAAGTGTCGTATTTTGTATTTAATAAAATCCCAGACAACTCTTTGATCTTCAATTTCTGTAACTTCATTTAACCATTTGGGAATATTTTGCCCAAGTTCATGTTTAAAATCAATGTCATTTGAAAGGCTATTATTATACCGCCAGTGGTTTGGGCCTGGTTTTTTATTTATATTATTAAAATAAATGACTATAGGAGAATGATCCGACTTAATACCTGTATCTATATCAATCTTCTCAACATTATGTTGGAGGTTATCTGAACACAGCCACAAATCTAACCTACTCATTATTGTAGGATTTTTCTGACGCCAAGTGTATCTTTTTCTGTTGGGGTTTCTAAGACGCCATAAATCGACCAAGTCTAAATTAAGCATGAGTGTGTCAAAAAAATTGATAATCTGTTTATTAAATTTATGATTTCCACCACTTCTATCAAGATCTGCACTGAATATGATATTGAAATCGCCGCCTATTATTAAATGGGTGTCATCGTTTGTGAAATCTTCTATCTTACGCGCGAATTCAGTCCAAAATGGAAGTTTTTCTTGTTCGATGGTTGGCCCATAAACATTTATTAAAATAAAGCGTTCATTTTGAATCTCAGTGTCTAAAATAAGAAACCGCCCGTTTTTATCAGAAATGTGTCGTTTGACCTTAATATCAAGAGAGTCTTTTATTAATATCATTACTCCTCTACTTTTAGAGGACCCATGTGAAAAATATATATCACCTTTCCAGTTATTATTATATGTATTTTCAATTTCGTGTGTACTGTGGGTTTCTTGTAAAAAGGTAATGTCTTTGTTTTTACTTTTTACCCAATTCATAACCGTATCCCGTTTATTTTGATTCACCAAGCCCCTAACATTAAAAGATAGCATATTAAAATTCATCATCGATCTAGCGCCTGTTCATTTTGTGGTTTAAACTATAAAAATATGTAGTATTAAATAATTTATATCCAATATATACTTTTAGGCATATGATTAGTTTACAACAGTATCGTATCATCCAAATAACATATTTGTACAACATTGCTAAATACAGGGTGTTCCAAAAGTAACAGGACTGGTGCTGGCATTTTGTCAATTTTGCACTTAGTGTCTTCAAATTTTCACAAATTGTACTTTGAAGTATTGCAACTAAAGTTGCAAATTGTCAGAAAAAATGATGAAATGCGGTTAGAGTTATGGTTACTATAGTAACATGACATCCCAATACCCGGGGCAACTTTTTTCCTGAAAATGTGATATTTAACATTTTTGTATTATTGAAGAAAGTATCTAATTCACCTATTATAATACAACATTTCTTGTTTATTATATTAGTTGTTTTGTTGTAAAATGTTGCTATACAACTCAGATTCAAGTATAATTTCAAAATAATAATATTTATTCAATTTCTTGGAATATCACTATGTATAACAGGCTGAACAATTCACGGTTGAGTTTTTGAAAATACCCAATTTGAAGCCAGTCATCCACCTTGATAGCGCGCCTGCCCGCAGGTCACCATTAAAGACCATGCACCTATAGAGGAGCTAGGTCTTGAGGTCTAAAACCATGCACCATACTCTTCTGATCATGCAATATCTAATTTTTACTTATATTGAGAACGGGATGCTAATCAGTGCTGTAAGACCTTTAAAGATGAGAATGACCTTCTCCAAATTGTCCAATCGACCCTGCGTGACATGCCCTCAAATGGGTTCACTCATGTGTTTGGGTCATGGATACAGAGTACTACTTTTGTTCTGACCAAAGAGGAGCCTATTTTTCAAAGTAGAGGATACATAGGAAATTAAATGATGTAAAACAAATGTAATTCCCACCAGTTGTTGCATTTCAACTTTGATATGGCATGTACAAAATGATATGGGATGTACAAAATGCTTAATGTCTCTGTAACTTTTTGCGTGGAATGTTGCCCCGGGTATTGCGATGTCATGTTACTATAGCAACCATAACTCTACCCGAGTTTGAAATATTTTGTCGAAACTTTGCAGTCTTAGTAACGAAGCATGAAAGTACATTATGTAATATTTTGATGACGATTAGTGCATATTTAACAAAATGCCAGCACCAGTCCTGTTACTTTTGGAACACCCTGTATTCATTCACTCCTATCAAATTCAGACATTCCATTCTCACATACACATTCATTATATTCTTAACAATAGTCCTTCAATAAATAATTGATGAACTATTTTCCATTAAAGTCTCTGTGTGCTCCCTCCATCGAAAAATATTAGTCTTTCTTCAAGGTTATTGGTATTCTGGATACATCTGTGCTCTTGTATGTTCTATTGTCCAAATGTAGTGTGTCTGCTATCATAAATGCTCGTTTTCCCTGATTCTGCGCTTCTTTCATATACGGGTAGAGTGCCTTTCTCCTCATGTTGATCTCTTTACAAAAGCTTTCATCCATTCTGTATGGGGAGTCTTTGCAGTTTCGTCGAGCGTCCCATACCAGCTTTTTATCTTTGAACCAATGGAATTTTGCTGTGATTGGTCTGCTTTTATTTGCTGATCTATCATTTTGGTTTCTTTTTCCCAGACGATGGACTCTTTCGAATTTTATATCTTTCGCATCTATTTTGAGTTGTTCATTAATCAGCTTCCTCACTTTTAATTCACAATCTTCATCTTCTGATTCCTCTATATTGTAAAAGTGGATGCTGTCTCTCCTAGAGTATGTGTCTTGATCAAGAACTTTGTCCGATAAGGTATCGTATGCAATTTTCGCTCTTTTCAAATCCATTGTCATCTCTGTTATACGACTATTAAGCTCTGTGATCGTTTTCTTGTTCTCATTCGTTGCCTCAATTGTTTTCTCCAGCTTTCCGTCCACGAAATTTATAGACCTATTGATCTCATCCACCTTTTTGTCCAAAGTGTTCATTAAATCGGCTTTATTTTCTTTAAGCGTATCCAGAACATCTTTAACAGCATCTGAAAGTGTATCTTTGATGATAGGTGTGATTGCTTCAGTAACAATTTGAGTCATGGATTGAACAAAATTTTCATCCTTCAGTAAATCTTCACCAGATATTTTCTTAGGTGGCATCTTAAAGGTATGTGTAGTAGATAAAACACGTGGTGTTGTGTGTTCTGTCCGTAAATATATGAGTAGGTATCACTGAAATAGAACGCAGTGTATATCCATATGTTGTCTGCATTCAGTTTACATTCGCTCAATTCGAACGCTTGGTGGAAATATGTGTATCAGAATTATTGCAGTTAAATTGCGATGTCGCTCAATTTGCCCATTGGCCTGTGGAAAATGTGGCGAACTAGTGGTATGTTTAAAGTCATAGTCATTAGCAAAGTCTGCAAATTCATTACTGGTAAACTGAGGACCATTATCACTAGTTAACTCATCAGGCAACCCAAAACGTGCGAAGATGCTTTTCATCTTATCGATAACATTTTGCGCAGTTGTATCTTTATTCATTAGTGCTACTTCAGGAAATCTTGAGTAATAATCCACAACAACAAGATAATGTTTCATTTCATATTCACACAAATCTGCACATATGTGACTCCATGGACGGACTGGTAATGGAGTTGGAATCAAAGGTTGTTTTCTCTGAGTATTACTATGTGTTAAACAATGATCACATTTCATAACAACCGACTGAACATCTGAACTTATGCCGGGCCACCATACACTTTGTTTGGCTCTTTCGCGACATTTTGAAATTCCTAAATGTCCATCATGAATTCTTTGTAATACATCCGGTCGCAACGATCTTGGTACTACTATTCCATTGTAAATAGAAAGCATACCTTGATCTTTATAGTACATTTTAATATCTGTTGGAACTGACTTTATTGAATTTGGCCAACCATGCACAATATAGTCTTTAACAAGTTCAAGTTCCGAATCAGTAGAAGTAACAGTCTTTATCTGGTTTATCAAATAATCCGCAATCGGTCTATTGTCTTCAACATGACATAAATATCTTTCAACTTCTTGTTGAGACTCTATTTCACATTTCTCCTCGCAATCTGGCAACGGAGCGCGACTAAGACAATCCGCAATAACCATTTCTGGATCCTTGCCAGGTACATATCTTGCTTTCGGGTTAAATCGCATTAGTCTCATTAGCAATCTTTGACAACGAATCGGTGTTTGATCTATATCTTTTGTATTTATTAGTGGAATCAGTGGACGATGATCACTGATCAATTCATATTCATCCAAACCAATCAAATACCGACTAAATCTCTCGGATGCCCATACCGATGCTAGGCATTCCTTTTCTATCATCGCATATTTCTTTTCAGCATCACTCAAAGTGCGGGATGCATAGCAAACAGGTCGAACATCATCCGGACCGTGACGTTGAAACAAACATGCACCCAGTCCAAAAGAACTACTATCGGCACAAACAATAGTTGGTTTTTCAACATCATAAAATGCTAAGACTGGCGCTTTACTTATAAGTTGCTTTATTTTGTCAAAAGCAGCTTGCTGTGCACTATCCCAAGCGAATACGGTATCTTTCCGCAATAAAACATGCAGCGGTGCAGCGACAGTAGACATATTTGGAACAAACTTACCTAAATAGTTTACCATTCCAAAGAAGCGTCTAACAGCTGATTTATCTTCTGGTCGCTGAATTTTACATATTGCGCGTACCTTATCTTCGGTAGGACTTATCCCCTTCGCTGAAATTTTTAGACCGAAAAATATAGCTTCCTTTTGAGCGAACTTGCATTTACGCTGATTGAGTTTTATACCATATTCTTTTATAGTAGCCAAAACCGCAGCTAATCGCGTATCATGCTCTTCTTTATCTTTACCGTGAACTATCATGTCATCAATTATGATTTCTACACCGGCATGATTTTTAAATATATCCATCATTACACTTTGATATTTCTCACTCGCAAAATTCAACCCAAACGGCATGCGTAAGTATCTATACCGCCCGAATGGTGTAATAAAAGTTGTGAGTTTCGAACTATTCTCATCGAGCCGCAAACCATGAAAACTACTTGAAGCATCTAATGTAGAGAATACGGTAGATCTTTTAAGTTTATGCACAAGATCATCAGTAGTTGGAAGAACAAACTTTTCTCTTTTTATGCTAGCATTAAGTTTTCTCAAGTCAACACATATTCTAGGCTCAGAATCATTTTTCTTTTCTGCACATACAATAGGAGCACACCAATCAACAGGCTCTGTTACTGTTATGACACCTTGTTCACACAATTTATTCAACTTAGCCTTGACCTTAGGCATCAAAGGTAAACTTACACGTCTTGGTGCAGAAATACTATAAGGCTGTGCATTAGGTTTCAATGTAATGGAAACAGGATTACATTTTACATCCCCAATTTCCCCATACATGCTAGGATCTTTGATATCCAGGTTATTCAAATGTTTCATCAGACCCATACTTGTAGCAGCCCCCCTGGATAACAAATTAGCTGAATTTGAGCTATCAACTACATGAATTGTTGTTTTGTACACTTTACTACCATTGAATACAACCTTTGCAACAAATGCTCCTATGCACTTAACTTTACCCCCAGGGCTCTGAAATTTTGCAGTAGGTTTACTTAGCACTGGACGGTTAATTTTCATTCTTTTGTATGCATCTACAGAAATAACCGAAGCATCAGCACCACTATCAATTTTAAAACACATGTTTTCACCATTTATACAGGGTGGGCCAAAAAATTTTGCAACTTTTTTAAAAGGCTAGAAAAGTATCAAAACATAAGAGTATTGCTATAAAAAATTATTTACAGAAACTTAAGGATAGGCATATTTTACCATTTAAATACTAAAGCTAAACTGGACTTCAATTTTTTTTATCAGATCTTTGAATATCAATGGTCTATTGTTCATTTGTCCGAGATTTACCGTTTTTCCTAGAAAATGTTTCATTTATGTAATCAACAATAACACATTCATTATGTTCACTAAATCTGTTACAATCTTGGATAACTGTTCAACCAATGTCTAGTACAGTTTATATCAGTATCTAGTCACTATGATATTATGTATCTATTGATTATTTATTAAACAAATTTTATGCATCCACCTTTCACCTTCTCTACAGTGCGCAAAGAGGCATGGGCGGAACTGGTCAATGGCGCGATCCAGCGATTCTTGTGGTAGTTCTCTACACTTCTCCTGCAGAACTTCTTTTAGTTTAACAATTTTTTTTTGGGGGGATTACCTTTAACTGCAATAAGCTGCTCCAGATGCCCCCAATGGTGATAGTCACAGAAGTTGGCATCTGGAGTATTTGGCAGCCATTCATCAGGACTAATCAATCAAGGCTTATTCTCCTCCAGATATTCCAAAGTGACTTTTGCCCAATGGCTGGGAGTGATAGTGAAGGTGAAAGGGGGATGCATAGAACATTTGTTTAATAGATAATTAATAAATGCAATATAACATAATACCATGGTGACTAGATACTGATATAAACTAGACATTGAGGTAGACATTGTTTAAACAGTTATCCAAGATTGTAGCAGATTTAGTGAACATTATGAATGTGTTATTGTTGATCACATAAAATCATAGAAAGTCACATTTTTTAGGAAAAAATGGTAAATCTCGGACGCATGAACAATTGACCATTGATATTCAAAGATCTGACAAAAAAATTTGAAGCCAGTTTTAGCTTTAGCATTTGACTGGTAAAATATGCCTATCCTTAAGTTTTTGTAAATAATTTTTTATGGCAATACCCTTATGTTTTGATACTTTTCTAGCCTTTTAAAAAAGTTGCAAAATTTTTTGGCCCACCCTGTATTTAGATTAATCAACCATGGTGGTTCTTCGACCACTTCATGTACTTCATCAATATCACACATATCATTATCTACACAGGTATCCTGTTGCATGTTATCAATATCACATATGATATCAGGTGGTGGTGAACTATCATTGTGACATATAACATCATCACAATCACATATCATAGTAACAGGATCACATGAATGATTAGCTGGATCACACGACTGTGTATTTGGATCACACACTTGTATAGCTGGATCAAACGATTGTATAAATGTAGATGCATCACATGATTGTGTATCATTATCTGTGACCAAGTCACTCAGGAACAAACAGTCAGTATCATCAACATCAGATCCATAATCATCATGGACATGTTCAACTTCATGCAATTTCTTTTTGTCATGTTTTATATCAATTGTCTTGCAGCAGCGTTTGAAGTGATTCATTAATCCACACTTTAGACAGTTTTTGCCATATGCAGGACACTCTCTCTTCTTATGAGATAGTCCACATTTTGTACATTTAAACTTACTGCCAGAGTACTTCTTTGACTTGACACGACCCCTCCTGGTGACGTCATCGACATGCGGGGTTTCCAATTGTGTATGCACGGGTGCGACATGCTCCCTAATTCGCGCCATTTCGATAACTTTCGCAAGTGTCAGCTTTTTATAGTCCATAATTTTGACTTTCTCAGCTAGATCAGAGTTCAACATCCCATTTATAAATTGATGCATGATTTCCCTCTCTGTATTTTCAAACTCGCAAACGTCCCCATGATCATATAAACGACGTAAAAAGCTATCGCAAGTCTCACCTGATTTCTGAACCATGGAATGAAATGTCTTCTGTTCCTCGATCAGGTTAACTTTGGGCATAAAATAATGGTCGAATTTATCCATAATAGTTTCATACGACTTCTTGTTTTCACCCTCCGCATATACGAATGTCTTGTAAATACTCTCTGCATTACTTCCCATACAGTATATTAGCGTGTCAATGACATTTGTATCATCTCGAACATCGCCTTCATTTTGACCGCCATCTTGACCCGTCAAATTTGCAGCAGACTTAAATCGCGTGAAACGTGCCTTCCAGTGTCGCCACTCTCTCGGCTTGGTCACGTCGAAGATCTCTGGTGGTTCTAGTTTGTAGGCCATATTGTAATAATAACTCCAAGCTATTATTTTAACTATGAAATTCCAAATTTCAATCCCAATCTAGACACCATGAACTGAACTCATAGATCAGTGACTTCTAAGTATCGATTTATTGTTGCATCATATCTGGTCACGTGACCTATTTACATAATAATCATAACAAAAGCACATGGTACAGTCTGATGAATGCTTACATAATTGTTAAGACTACATATTATGACAGGTTCTACGAAAATAAACGACGCAATATCGTTTGCAAAACAATGGTCAGGCATAAAACTTTGGTCAATATAAACTCATGCGTTAAAATGAAAGGCCAATATGAAGTAAATTGAGAATAGAAAACTGAAATGTTACATCCCTAATTATAACTCGTTGAACCTTTTTTTTAGTTCATCCCCTTTCATTATAGTTCAGATTCTTTGTATTTTTACTTTTGAAATATGAAATATTTGTAACTGGTTGACGATAGGTCTGACTAATTGTAAAACAGTAAAACTGTGTATATAGCCAGGAACAGTTGTCGATAAAAATATCAAAGCTTAAAATAATCATGAGCTTGCTTGAGTTTTGGTTATCATAATACTAGTTTTATTTGATAGGGCATTGTATTTGTTTTTCCTGGTAATATTTTCTTCCACCATGTACTGTCTTCCTGATGTAATCGAGGATGTGGTTAAAGGCCCCATATAAAGTTTAAACTACTTT